AACTAAATTTAATAAAGTATATTTTGTACGCACAAATAATATATGTACATGTACGATGAAAGATATTTCAATTTTATCTTAATATTTTAAGTAAACTTTAATTAAATATTTGGACAAAGCTTATATAAAGAACTTACACTATAACTAAAAAATGTCCATGAAAAGAAATTGTCAATAATTTATAAACAAATTTATTGTGAAACTAACAATGAGTGTGATTTACATATGATTAATATAATAATCAATCTATTAAATAAATTTTTTATCATAATATATGGTTTAGCATAAAACAAGATAATTTCACAGAAAAATATTATATAAAATGAAAAAAAATAAAAGAAATGAAGGAACAAAAGAATCAATGGTAAAAGTATAATAAACGCGAAAACAAATTTTTTATTAAAAATTGTAAATACAAATCTAGATCTTATGTATATCGGAGATATACTTTGTTTCTGATCTTAGCACAACAGTAACACTGGACAAACCAACGTTTTAACTAATGTAAAGAATGACAGATACAAAAAGCATGATATCAGCATACGTAAATTTTGTAATAAATTGGTGGGTATCGTTGACCACTAGAGCCGCGCGAAACCGCCTCTCTTTATATTTATAATAGCGATCGTTTCATCATCCCAATCGCCTTTAGCGAGCCGGTTGACTGCTCCATACATGGAGCAATTAATTACGAGTAGTCCGCATTAATCTTTGCAAATTGGAGCCAAAATCCTCGGAATACGCTCTGTAATTTATAGTACTCCCAGTATCTGATAATATAATAAAACAAAAGCGTTTTATAAAACAAACATAAATTTCTCTTTTCAACTTTCTAATTTGGTTGGCTAAATAAAACAAAGATAAAGTCTTTTGTTATGAATTATTATGCTATCAACATATAGTATATCAACGAAATTCTTTTGATATATAAATTATCAAGATTTGCAATAAAATTTGTGATTTCTTTTTATTTACATAACATGTAATCAGTAAAATAAATAAAAAAATTGTGTGTGTGTGTGTGTGTGTGTGTGTGTGTGTGTGTGTA